TGGTGAAATAATATAAACACTACCATATTTAATAGATATTTAAACATTTGATGTATGTGACTGGAACTAAACAACTCATTTATAACAAATTTATACATGCAATCAGTTTATGCATTCATTTTCTTGTCGGCTTAGTCCCTTTATTAATCTGGGATCTCCACAGCGGAATGAACCGCCAACTTATCCAGCATATGTTTTACGCAGTAGATGCCCTCTAAGCTGCAACCCACTGGGACCCACCCACCCCCCCCCCCCCCCCCCACACACACACACACACACACACACACATTCATCTACATTCACTACGGAAAATTAAGCCCACCCAATTAACCTATAGCACATGTGTTTGGACTTGTCAGCGAAACCAGGAGGAAACCCACGAGAACATGCAAACTCCACTTTCGACACTATTTCAGTTAATATTATGCATTTGGCAGCATCTGATTTCTTTGAGCTTTTCGGCACCACTTTTTCTTTTTTATGGTCCAGCTCTGACATTTAGCTTGTGTTGCACTTAGTTTATTTGACATTCTTGACAGATTTTGATTATGTCTGCGTAACCTCTAATTGGGTCAGACCATTTCGAAACCAGCCGATCATTGTCGATTGGGCCAATGCTTAACATTTATTATTATTATTATTAGTATCATCATCATCATCATCATCATCATAATACTCATATCTTGAAAGAGATAAAAGCTGCCTGCATGTAAAACAATACATATAACAAAAAATAAATAAATTTAAAAAATAGCTCACCGGCCCACATTTAAAGAATGGTCCGGCCCTTCTGGCATTTGCCAGAATTGTCAGATGGCCAGTCCACCCCTGTATAAATCTTGTGGTCCAGAGTCAAATATCTGTTTCTAAATACTCTACTACTATAAACTCAGGTCTGAGAGGTTTACATATCTTTCTTCTGTTCTTATAAAGTCAGTCTCATTTCTTTTGTTCATTATTTTGACTAAGCCATACTCAGAGATAGAGGTTTCCATTGGTGTTTAATCTGGGAGGAAACCTATATTTTTACTTGTCACGTGTAGTTGAAAGTGTTTTAGTGAGGTGTGATGAAACAGCTTCCCCTATTAAATTGCTGCTCGTCTTGCTTTTTGTGCTGTTGCACATTTTATGCAATAGAACATTTTGAAAGGAGCACAGAAGAGCCACACCTCAAGGTAGGAAGTGTAGTTTCATCTTTTGATGTTCTAACTGGTGTAGTCGAACTTCACGTATTGGCAAGCATTTGAGGTATAAGCTTATATCAGCTTACATCACAGGTGTACTGTAGGGAAATTTTAGACTACTTAAAGGCAGTTTCACTGGTCATTGGTGTATTCAGGTTCAGCCAGGTATTTTTTTCAGAGAAATTGGCAGATCTTATTGATTTTTATTATTATTGTTATTTTTTATTAATAATGTTTTTAAAGATTTATTTTTGGCAGTTTTTTTGTCAGTAGGTTGACAGGAAGTGAAGTGGGAGAGAGAGTGGGCTAGGATCGGGAAAGGTCCACGAGCTAGGATTCGAACTCGGGGCGCCCAGAGCCCATCCGCACTTTATGTCGGCACACTAACCACTGGGCACTTGCTATTTTTTCTTGTATTTCGTTTCATACTAGTTTGTATGTCTGTAAATGAGAGTATTGAAGAACAAATTTTAATTTTTTGGGGGATTTTGGTTCTTAAAATCCTATTTTAGGGCTCACAGTATGTGGTTAATTTCCTGAGATTATGGGATGTCAGTGTGGCTGCGTGAGTAAGTTGTATCTCACAAAAGTCACTGAAAATTCACTTCGTCACGCTGAAAAACAAATTATTTTGAAATTAAAAACTTTTATTAAAGAATAATGTACCCATATGTGTGCTAATTAGTAATAACTAATCTGTAATCTAAAAATATTAAAGGTGTTTTACTATCTTTTTTAAATTTATTCATATGAGGCCCTATGTTGTTCAGTCTCAGAGATATTGATGTCAAATTTTCTTTTGTCAAACAACATAATTAGTTTAATTCAATCATTCACTTTCTTTTAGGCTTAGTCCCTTTATTAATCTGGGGTCACCACAGCGGAATTAACCGCCAACTTATCCTGCATATGTTTTAGGCAGCGAATGCCCTTCCAGCTGCAACCCATCACTGGGAAACATTCATACAAACTCAATCACACACATACACTACGGACAATTTTAACATACCCAATTCACCTGTACCGCATGTCTTTGGACTTGTGGGGGAAACCGGAGCACCTGTAGGAAACCCACACGAACTTGGGGAGAACATGTGCACTCCACACAAAAATGCCAACTGACTCAGCTGAAGCTTGAACCAGCAACCCTCTTGCTGTGAGGTGAACATGCTATCCACTGCACCCCTGTGGTGTCTGATTAGTTTCAAATTTTCATAAAAGATATTTGCACTAGTTGAGGCACAGATTCAAGTATAAAATGTACAAATGGGCTTAAAGTAAGATTTCAACTGTAAATTCATGTCAACCTATCTTTAAACTGAAAATAAATAAATAAATAAATTGCCAATGTTTTCAAAGTTTTGCAAGATTTTTTTTCTTACATTAAGTCAAAAAAAGGAGAGGAATCCCTAATTTTTAATTATGTGATATGAACTTTACTTGTGCTTTTTAAGTAAACATGTCTTGCTTTATGAACGGTGATTTGTTTAGCAGAATCAGATGTCAAAAGTAATGGTTTGTGAGCAGAGGCTTCACTCTTACTTTTGGTTGTGTGAACACTAGGCAGAGAAAACTGCGCACGAGAGAAGAGGATTAGGATGGATATTATTAGAGTTGTCTGTTTATCCTTTCACCTGATCCTCCTTAAATCTGACAAGGCTGCTTTATTTACTGTGCGCTAAAAATTCATTAAGAAAAAAGGACACCCAATGGATTACACATCAAATTGTTCAATCTACATAGTGTCCAGATTTCACCTCAAAAAACAAAAACAGCAAATAAATATACATTCTGCATGAAGAAAATTAAGCCTATTTTTTAAGAACGTTAAGGTGAAAAGAAGAAATTGTGATCAAAGAACAACCCGACATGAAGTACGTTTTTAAAAACTTTATAGCATTGTAAATCGTTGATTATGCTAGTATTCCATGGAATAAGCCAATTTATAGACAAGTTAATTGCCAGGGTATAAACAAATTAAAACTAGTACTGCTCTCAGCACAGTTTATTATAATTTATAAAATCTAAATTAGTCTAATTCTTTTCCATTGACTTTGCAGCACAGTTTTGACCACATTTTTGTGAGCTACAACACTTCAGCTCTCTAAATGAGCGTCAGTTTATGCCTACTTTTTCTAAGAGTGATTTTAAAACTTGTGTTAAACGATCTAAAAGTTTCCCAAACTTCTAGTTTCCCAAACTGTACAAATATAGTTTCTTTGGTCCACACAGCTACACATAAAGATGTATACTGTCAATAAAATGTCATAGCTTTATTTATTTTTATTTTAACATGCGTTTAGTTAGAGATCCAAGTAGTGTTGTCATTATACTGGAATTCGATTCCAATTGGTACTGAAATTTTAAAAATATTAATTTCCCGCTAACATTTGAGCGCTGTTGAGTGCATTCCTAAACAGCGCTGATTGCCATTGTGTTACTGTGCTCAACAGGAATGACTGTGATTGGCCGTTAGGGTCATCAGTTCACTGAACTCACAACTGTTTACTACGGTGGCCGGGAAGTGCAAAACAACAGTACAAAGTGTGAAACGCTTTAATAAAGCTAAAGGCAAATTTACATTTTGGAAAACATTTTTACCTATCATAAGACTAAATTACATGTGAAAAACGATATTACCAAGGACAAAACAAATTTACATTTTAGAAAATAAATGAACCAGACGCAAAAGACTTTTACCAGTTCTGAAACAAATTCACAATGACAGATTCTTTACGGAAAGGCAATGTATCATACGAAAAGGGAATGTACCATACACCAAATAAAAACAAAACAAAACTTAACAATACACTCTAGGAAAAGAGCATTTTTTAAAAGAAAATAGTTCGATTTATTAGACAAGCCTACACAGCCTTCATTGCTCCATGTTGACGCAAATGCTCTTAAAATCTTTTGAAGGATGCAGCCTTCGCTTATTTTGCTATGGTTACTATTAATAATGTTTGTGTTTATATGAAACTGTGATCAAAACTTGAACAATTCATGTGTGGGTGTCATTAAGAAAAAAAAGTTTGCCCTTCTAATCTAAAGTTGTCAGATTGCATCTGTCTGAGATATTGGGTGTGGCTAACATACTTAACCACGCCCCTCTAGCTGTCAGTTTTGACAACAAACTCAAATGGTGAGGAGGAGGTGTCTGTTAGGTTGTCATAACTCTGCCGAAACCCTTTTCCCGATCTTTGTAATTAAAATGCCTACTTTATTAAATCCAATCAGCTCGCAGTGGAAAAAACAAGTCACGCCCCCTATTTTTTCTCAATTAATATTCATGCAGACTTCATGCAGTTCATGCAGACCTTAATGCACAACTTCCAGCCAATCAGAGTCCAGAATTTCAGCAGACCATAAAATAAATTCAAATCAGTCACATTTAAGTGATTATTAACAAAACACATCAATACATTGTAGTCATTCAAAAGGTCCAGAATATGACGCTTTTTTGAGTGAATTTGAGTGAAGTCGTTTTTCGTGAGATTCACCACGCACTTGGTTTTCTCTAAATACAGGCCTCGGAATAAGCAGTGTATTTTAACACGTCTGGCACTCATTTAGACTGAAGGTGTGACTCACTCTCATGATTATGTTCTAGGCCTGTAGTGCCATTTAATAAACAGCTGTTGTATTGTCAGCTAATTTGAATTAGTTCCACATTTGCTGAGGCTATTTTCATGCTCAAACGTATCGAGCCATAAACCTCCTTTTAATATCAGTTCTGAAGTGTTCCGCTTGAGCTGATCTTTGTTTGACTTCTGGCTGTTAATTTGCATTGAACTCACTTTATTTTCTTTTTTGCAGTGTGCAGAGTCATGAAACTTAGTCCCTGTCAAGCCCCGTTATATGTAAGTATCTTCCATGCTGATTATTATGTATTCTTCAGCTTTATTTTCTCTGTTAAAACCATTGAGGTGAAATGCATGTCTTGCTTTCAAAACGGTGTGTATGTTCAGTTGAATTTCAAGTGAAGTGTTAAGGCGCCAATATACTCAAAGCAATGTCTCAGAGCCACACATGCGTGCTATGTAAAGGCCATGAACAAATGTTAGTCAAAGGGGTTTTGAATTTTTCTTGAAAGTTCCACTTTAGCAAGCTGTTTCAATCATTTAAAACAAATCATTTTGGCCTGATTGCATTAGCATGAATAGCATTAGCATCAGTAGCATTTTTGGTATCAGTAGCATTTTTGGCATCATTAGCATCAATAGCATTTTTGGTATCATTAGCATCCGTAGCATTTTTGGCAGCATTAGCATCAGTAGCATTTTTTGATATCATTAGCATCAGTGGCATTTTTTGATAGTATTTGCATCAATAGCATTTTTGATAGCATTAACACCAGTAACATTTTTGGTATTAGTAGCATTTTTGATATCAATAGCATCAGTGGCATTTTTGATATCATTAGCATTAGTAGCGTTTTTGATAGCATTGACGCCAGTAGCATTTTTAATATCATTAGCATCAGTAGCATTTCAATAGCATTAGCATCAGTAGCATTTCAATAGCATTGACATCAATATAATTTTTTGATAGCATTAACTCCAATAGCATTTTGGTATCATTAGTAGGACTGCAACTAACGATTATTTTAATAATGGATTAATCTGTCGATTATTTTTTCGATTAATCGGATAAAAAATCATTTATTTAAATCATTTATATAATAATAATAATAATAATAATAATACACCCGGATTCTCAGTAGCGGAAGTTGTCATAGTTGGGAAAACTTAGAGCACAGTGAATGGGAGAATACAACAAATATATATTTTACAATCTTATTTGCTCAAATAATAAAAAGAAAAACTCCATGATGACGTTATAAAGACTTTCAGAATTATGTTAGACTGACTGGCAAACAGAGGAGAGAACAATGTCAAATCTACTGTCCCGTCCCATAGAAGCTGAATTGAAAACACCTCACGTAAGCTGTCATTAGTTTTTTGTAATTTGAAGCAAAGATAGTATACACAAATGTTCATAAGTTTTTTTTTTGACTAAAAATATTAAAAACTTAAAAGGATTTAAGATGCTGATGAACGTTAAACGCCTCATAACAAGCTTGTGAAAAGAGTCCATCGAAACATTGAATTTCGATTGATTGCACAGCCCTATTTGTTTGCTCCTTTTTATTGAATTTGGTATTTTCTTAAAGGAATAGTTGACCTTAAAATGAAAATGTTTCCTCTCTTAAGCAGTTCCAAACCTTTGAGTTAATTTTTTTTTCTGTTGAACAAAAAAGAAGAAGAAAAAAAAGCTAAAAACTGCTAACTTTTTACAACCATGGTATGAAAAACAAATTCTATAGAAGACAGTGGTTACAAGTGTGCCAGCTGTCTTTAAAATATTATAGTTTGTTTTCAACAGAGATCAAATATGTGTTTTGGGGAGAGTAAATAATCACTGAATTTTCTCTTTTGGTTGAATCAGTTGTTTTGTATGAGTTTTGGGTATCAGTTTAATTGTTTTTGCTATGAGACATGGCATTAAAAAAAAAAGTATGATACAGTCAGCCAACAAATGGCTTACTTTCAGTTATTTCTGCTCGGCTAAGCTGAGATAAAAGGATGTATTTTAGTTGGCGCAATAGCCTAGTGGTTAGCGCGTCGACACATGGTGCAGTAGCAAGTCAGTGCGTCCCGAGATAAAATCCCGGCTCGAGGACATTTCCCTACCCTACCCCCTCTCTCTCTCCAACTTTGCTTCCTGTCTAAATACTGTCCTTTCTAATAAAGGCAAAAAAGGCCAAAAATAAATCTTAAAAAAAATAAAATAAAAATAAGGATGTATTTTACCCTCACACATACGTGCACACACGCCACAATAACATAATGAGAACTCAATCTCACAGTCAGTCGTCCTTTCAGCCGCCTTCAATAAAAATCTCAAAAAGTCTATCAAATTCTCATTCAGGAGACTGGTGACCCTCATTTGAACACTTCCTAGGGAATACATCTCCTAGATCCCAAAGGGGAATGTGACTGTCAGCACCTTACAAGATCAGAAAACGAGTCAAGCAGCGAGAAGGATGTGTGACCGGATTGAGTTACTATCACAAGAAGCCCATCTCACGTACAGAATACAGTCAACAAAGAAAAGGGATTTTCCCTTCACTGCCGTGAAATCCGATGAGGCTTCAAAGACACTTATCTTTGTGTTAATGTCTGTAATTAACTGCTGAAACCATATTAGATTATCCAGAGCTCTGAGATAAATGGAAACAATGCTGATGGTTTTGAGGACAGAAGCATGTGTGACGCCCTTTATTGTCTCTTTATTCCCATAGACATCTTTCCTCTGCTGAGATTATTTCAGGAGTCACTAATATGCCGCTCAGATTTCTGACGTTTTTGTCAGTCATGCTTGTATTATGAAACATGCTCCATTGAAACTCTAATGATGCGTTCACACCAGACACGGATGAAACGTCAAGCACGCGTGATTTACATGTTAAGTCAACGCAAAGATGCGAGTAGACATACTGTGGCATGATATGCGCGAAGATGCGGCACGAATGGTGTGATTTGCGTGAATGAGGCGACGCGAATTGAGCATGAATCAATCGAGTTGAAAAATCTGAACTTTAGCCCTGTTACATTTAGGACATTCAGGCCTTGTTAACCAATCAGGAGGGGCGTGATTATGACGTAGTGCGTGTTGGTGGTGTCCCAGGGGAAATCCTCTTGCCAACACCGCAGAACAGCTCATCAAACTGGGCTTGGCTCAGTCTAAAGCACAGCTGAAAGCAGCCACCATCCAGGTACAGTTTCTGGAGGAGTTTGTGGACTCACACAGCTGGGTGCACCTCTGAAAGGATCTAGTGCACTCAGACACAACGCCAAATAAGTCTTCGCTGTTTATCAGCCTTCCTAAAGCACATAATCACAGCTATTTGCTCTATAAAATCCATATTGGCAATTTAGCAACAAAAACCGGAGTCACCGGGCAGACAGAAACCCTGCCCATGACATGAATCCGTCTGTTCCGTCTGTTGTGAAGTAAATTTTATTTGTGCAAGACGCGTCTAGTGTGAGCACCATAATATAGTGGATTATTAGTCCCCCTGTGTTTTTTCCCCATCAATTTCTGCTGAACAGAAAGAAGATTTCTAAACGTAATGGTTTTAACAACTCAATTTTAATAACACACTTGTATCTTTGCTATGATGACAGTAAATAATATTTTGCTTGATATTTGTCAGCATACTATTGTTCAGCTTAAAGTAGTTTTTAAAGGAATTTAAATCATTGGGTTAAAGCCCAGCTCACAGCCACGATTTTGTTATCTGAGACAAATTTGGGAAATCCTAAAAGATCCCTGAAATCCTATGCTAAAATCTGTGATCTTTGATTGTTGGTTTGACATGTTCACAGTAGGGCTGTGCAATTAATCGAAAATCAGATTTCGATTTAGATTATGGCTTCTAACGATTATGAAAAACCATTCATCGAGATAAACGTTTATTTCATTATTTACCGTCTCCTGTCCAGTTGTCCTCACTTGTTGCTCCTAAAAGCGCGAAAGACCGCATGCTTGTGTGTGCGGCGCGCAGACAGTCAGAAGCATGCAGTCTGCACTTGGTCTCATTCGCACATTGTGAGGAGCAGAGAGCACACACATCTAAAGTCATTAACGCAAGCACTTTAATGGTCAAATAGGTGTCAAAACGCGGTGTTTAGTGATTGTTCATATTAACCCTCATTTTGTAATAAACAAACGAGTTGAGAATCAAAAGACACGTGAAAGCGAAACCATTAAAGTCACAGAGCACAACAGCTGCCGCCTGTTTTATCATGATTAATAAAACAACGAGAAAATCCCTCTTTGCTCTTGACTGAAGACTTTTGTAGCTAAAGTGTTTTTCTTATGGTGGAAATGCTAAAAGCAAAGTTTGTTTCATATTTTTATTTTATTGTATTTATTTCTCTTTCCTTTGCAGGGAGAAAAATAATATATGCAGTTGAAGTCAGAATTATTAGCCCTCCTGAATATTAGCAACCTTTTCCCCCCAATTTACGTTTAATGGAAAGAAGATTTCTGAACATAATAGTTTTAATCATTCATTTCTAATTACCGATTCATTTTATTTCTTAATTTTATTTTATTAATTTTAAGCTCATAATATTTTAGTAGATATTTTTTTAAATACAAAAATTCAAATTCAAAGTGTGATTCAAAAGCTTAATTAGGGTAATTAGGCAAGTCATTATATAACAGTAGTTTCTTCTGCAGACAATCAAAAATATTTATTGCCTAAAGGGGCTATTAATATTGAGGTTTCAAAATATTTAAATCTGCTTTTATTCTAGCCAAAACAAAACAAATAAGCCTTTCTCCAGAAGAAAAATATAAGAGGAAATACTATTAAAATTCCTTGCTCTGTTAAACATCATTTGGGAAATATTTATTTTAACAAAATTCTTAGGAGCGCTAATAATTTTGACTTCAAATGTGAATAAATGTGATTACAATTATGACCAAAATAATTGTGATTATGATTTTTCCCAAAATCGAGCAGCTCTAGTTCACAGACAGCCGCTTAATGCCTGTTGCGATCAGATTTTTCCCCAGATGAGGATATCAGACACTTTCCTGCAGTGTGACAACAGCTGCGACAAGTGTCAATCCAAAAACCAAATATAAGCGCTGACTTTGATGACGCAATCCAGGCAAATGATCACAGGAAATGTCAATAAAAAATGTTTTTGAAAACACAAAAATGTTTTTTTTCTTCCTGGTTTTATTATTGAGGCACGCTGTGCACAAAATTGCTACAGATTGTTTACATTTGCTGTGAGGAATCATTTCAGAATGCGAGATAGTGAAAGTCACGGGAGGATGACGTCGAACTCCAGGGGCATTTTCTTTCGTGTTTGGCGCATCTTCATTGTCGTTCAGTCTGACTTTATGATATCTGAGACCTCACAGTGTGACATGTGAGCCATGTTCGTGCAGTCTGACAGGCTACAATTTTTCAGGATTTTAACAAATCGCACAGTGTGATCCAGCCTTTACTCAGCAAGTTAGAGTAATTAGGTAAATCATTGCATAACGATGGTTTATTCTGTAGACAATTCAAAAAATATATTGGTCAAGGGGGCTAGTAATATTGACCATAAAATTGCTTTAAAAAATAGAAACTGCTTTTATTCTAGACAAAATAAAACAAGACTTTCTCCAGAGGAAAAAATATGATGCATTCTGTGCGCGATTACCACAATAATGCAGTCATAGTGATACAACATGGCTGTATATCTATCTATACAACTCTAGTAAGCACCAAACTTCATAAAAAAAACTTGCCTGAATATTAGTTCTAATTGTGTGTATTAGTGTGACAGAAAGAGAGCAGATCAGGGCGTGAGCTGTTAAATCCTATCTGTGTTAATCTCTGCAGACCAACATATCCTGTTGCAACCACAACTTCACTTATTTTTATACACTTTTTTATTGCGTTTGACTAAGTTCTTGACTTAAAATATTTGAATTTAGAAGCAAGAATAGCTTCTGTTGTCCTGCTTTTAGCACACTTTTTACTCATTCAGTGCTTGTGTGTAGTAAATCATGTTTCATCATTATAAGTTTAAAGGTCAAGATGGTCATGTTAATTCAAACCTCTTTTATAATTGGCTTTGTCACTTTATATTTTGTGCCAGTAGCATATTAAGTTATTCGTAAGTGCATTCTTTTGTATCTGAAACTTGTGTTTTTGTATTGTGTGTCAGGGCAAGTGTGTTCTGACAGTTGATCTGTGTGATGAGACGCTCTGTGAAGGAGAACAGGACGAGGTGTTGTTCTTCCTGTTGTTCAGCGGCTCCGTTCAGACACATATAACCAGCACACTGAAGGTCAACCATGCCACCCTTCAGGCTGTGTGTCCAGGTGAGCATGTTATGGGGACTTTAAAATATTTGATGCTTACTGTTACCATTTAAGCATTTTTTTTATTAAGTTTTTTTGTGAAATGTGTCCTGTCCTTTGAAATATGGTTTTTCAAAATTAGGTTTGTTAGGGCAGTGATTCTCAACCACGTTTCGGAGGACCACCAGTTATGCACATTTTCCATTGCTCCTTAACCAAGCACACTTGATTCAGATGATCAGCTCATTAGCAGACTGAAATACCTGTAATGGGGTGTGATAGACAAAGGAGACATCCAAAACATGCAGTGTTGGCAGTCCTCAAGGAATGTGGTTGAGAATCACAGGAAGAAGCATATGCAAAGCCAAAAATGTAAATCTTTCAAGTGTAGAATTACTGTAAATAACAATTCCTTAATAATAAATGTATACTTAATCATAATGAAATCATAGAAGTACTTGAGCAAAAAAAAAAAAAAAATATATATATATATGTATATATATATATGTATATATATATATATAAAGACATGTGGTATTGGTGTATTGGGTAAGCTAAATTGTCCATAGTATATGTGTGTGAATGAGAATGTATGGGTGTTTCCCAGTGATGGGTTGCAGCTGGAATGGCAGCTATATATGAGCAATTCCATGCAAATCTCAACCTTGTAATGAAAAAATTTAAGCTTTCACCAAAATACCCAAACCTATTCTGGGTTTTTTGGGTCAGCAAGTATTTTACAGGACTTTAGAAATACTCAAAAATGCATCTTTCAATGTTTTCAAACTATAATATTTGATTTACCAAAGTCACACAAACTGTCAAATCCATAACGGAGAGATATCACATCCTTAACGACACTTTTTCCTCATAACTGTGAAGATATTAAATAACATAAAACCAATCATTTTTGTTTTATAGTGAGCCATGTCTTCTTTTGATTAGCAATGTTTCTTTTGGGTTGTGCAGTTTAATTTACAGAATTTCTACAAAGTTTGTTGTATACTGTAAACCCACAAACATTTTTTTTGTCATATCCATAACGCATGTTTATTTTTCTCATTTAAAGTACAAAATATGTTTACAGATTAATACTTTTCTGATCCCATTAGTCTGTGGTCAGTTGTTCTGGAAAATATCAATGAAAGTTTCAATATAATGTTGACATTCTTTCTATGTTTTCTATGTGAATTTATGTTTTGGGTTTATAATACACACACAAACACACACACACACACACACACACACATATATATATATATATATATATATATATATATATTTTTTTTTTTTTTTTTTTCCTTCTTCTGGAGCAAGACTTATTTGTTTTATTTTGGCTAGAATAAAAGCAGTTTTATTTTTTTTATATTAAAAAAGGTTTTTAATTTTTAGCAACCTTAAGCAATATTTTTTCTTATTATTTAGTATTTTTTAGTATTGTTAATAGTTAAGCTAATTAACCTAGTTAAACCTTTAAATTCCACTTTTAATACTAGTATCTTAAAATATATAGTAAAATATTATGTACTGTCGTCATGGCAAAGATAAACGTAATCAGTTATTAGAAATTTGTTAGTAAAACTATAATGTGTAGAAGTCTTCTCTCCGTTTTACAGCAATTGGGGAAAAATATAAAATAATTAAAATTTAACTGGAGGGCTAATAATTCTGACTTCAGCTGTAAATTAGATGCTTATGTACTCTTTATATGGATAATTTTATCTGCACAAGGTGGCAGTATTGCTCCAATCAATATAACACGTATGCTTGGTAATCCTATTAAAGACTCAAAAGTGGACTGAGTCAAAGTAAACACGGTGCATCTCATATTCTGAAAGACTTCGGTGGCCAAACTGATCAGCTGTGTGTTTGCAGCTCGTATTTGAGAATATATATATGCATTAACCTTATATCTTGTTAAATGGTGCCAATTTTTGGATGCTGTGTAGTTTAATTGTCTGTTTGGTCACTGAAGCGAACGCTCTCTATGGATTCGTTCGCTCTGCTTGAATGAATGAAGTTGAGCACAGCAATGTTTACTGTAGTGATGTGTTTAGTGTCAGGTGTAATGTCTTAGCAGTCAGTGAAGAGGATGATCTGCTGATGGAGGGGATTACAGAGACGGTGCTTTTGTAGAATCACTGAGGTACTGTAATAGTTTTAATTAGTTGCTTATTTAGTTTTATAATCTTTGAAGTTATCATGAACAGGAATTTCATGAGACTTTTTTTTGAATGTTGATGTGCTTCTGACTGAAAATGAATCATGAATAGGGGGCAGGGCTTTGTTTTTGCGCATCATTCCCTTGTAGAAAATGAATGGTTAGAAGTATGAGGTTAAGAATATTGTGGCTGAAGTCATCAAACTGATGTCAACAGAGACGAACAGACGCAGCAGCAAGTCTTTGATTGAAGATTACTTTTTTCATTGACATGCATTAACTTGCACCGATTAATTGATCACCTACAACTGGAGTTCCCAAACTTTTCAGCCTGTGACCCCCAAAATAACAATTGCAGTGACTCGGGATTCCCACTTCTTAAAAATTCCCTCCATTGGCCCCTACCAATCATGGCCTCCCAGTCATCCCCGTCCAATGAACTGGCTCTATCACGGTCTCTCCACTCCACCAATAGTTGGCATGTGGTGAGCGCACTGGCGCTATTGTCCTCTGGCTGCCATCGCACCATCCAAGTGGATGCTGCACACTGGTGGTGGAGTGGAGAGACCCCCTGCATGATTGTGAATCGCTTTGGGTGTAAGGCCATACACAATAAATGCGCTTTATAAATACACATTACTTACTTGCTTACTTATTTACTTACTTACTTACTTACTTACTTATAATTTCTGTGTTAAAGCTTATAATACTGTTACGTCCTTTTAGATGTTAATATTAAACTAGGAGTAGATGACATAACATACATTAGTTTAATGTGTGTGACAAGCGGATGGAGAAAGAAATAAACTGAATCAAATAATCACTGCAAATATTTATTGCCCATATATCCACAGAAAACCAGTGAAAATATATTATACAGTGAAAGAAAAATATTTACAATGATTAAATAATGAATTACCTGGGGGGAGAGGAAGTAGTTGAATGTGCTTCAATCAAAGAAATAAATATAACAAAACTCAATAACTGTTTTCACCAAACTAAATTAATATGAAAAGAAAAGCATGAAAAGAAACATCTTTAACGTACCAAACGTCTTAACTAAACTGCTCTAACTAAAAACAAAACATACAGAAAACAGCACATTCTCCTAAACCTAGTGAACTAATACAAAATATCAATCTGAGTGTTGTATATGTATATCGCGCGACTTACTCACTCCTACACCTTTCCGAGGCATCACTCAAACATATCAGTTGACTGGACAATTTCACAAGCATTATTAAATCGCAAACTTAAGACAAGAGCATTAAACAAGCAAAACACATTCTCTCAGACTAGCCCTCGCAAGAGAAACTGTCCTCACAGAGACCCACAGAAAGAATAAGAGCGAGAAGTGGCGAGAAGGTAAGAGAGAGAGAGAGATAGAGAGAGATCGCCATTGCAGTTTGGGCTCGGCTTTTAAACGCTACGCCAACCAGCGATTGGTGACGCAAACCCAGCGTCAGCGGCCAACGTCATCAGCACGAAATGCGGATCCTCCAATGCCGTTCGTACCTGTAACACATGCATGAAACGACACACCCACATACAAACGAACGCACACACTTATCCAAAATACGTCTGCAAGGGAACGTTACAACTGCAACACCAATTACATAATTTCAAACAACAAAATTATTAATTAAAAGGAAAATTCTAAATTAGAAATTTCTAAGTTACTTCCACTGTTGGACGGTGTTGCCATATGGCAACATGTCATAAAGTATTTCTCTTTACGTCTCTTCAAGTTAAGCCATTCTAAGAAAAATAAAAGTCAAATATTCTTTTTATAGATTTGTAATAATGCATTCGGTAGAGGGTTAAATATATGATTGTGTATGTTTTTTTTTTGTTCTTTTCCCACTTCTCGTCAGTTATCCACATCAGTTATTGTCTTATGTGTGTTCGACTGAATTCCTGATGTGTTTTTTTTCTTTGCTCTCTGCAGCTCATAACTGCTGTGAATCAGTGCTGGTCACCCTGTTCTCCACTGGGCCGGACGGTTTGGTTCATTCTCTGGCCACCGAGCCCTTGGTCTTCGTGCAGGACTTGGCCTTCGACATGGCCCAGTTCTTGGTGAGCGCGGTGGGGCAGACGGGCATCCTGGAAGAGGCTCTACTACTGGACGAGCATCAGATCCCCCTGCAGGAGTGTGAAAAGCTGGACCTGAGTCTTTCCCTGGCCCTCAAACACCTCACGCTGCCCCCTGGATGGAGCCTGATTGGAAATAACACACGTGAGTGAGGCCTGGAGGAGGCTTGTGGTTAGATCTGTGCTGGCGATTTTTATTTATTTGTTTATTTGCCGTGGACATCATAATTACACTGGACAAACCAAATGCATTTGTTTAAGTGTTTTAACAGACTTGCTAATTAGCAACACTTGTCCAAGGGAGACTTGACTTTATAAGTAAAAAATAAAACGAAAATAAAATAATACATATACACAACATTATAATTCTTTACATAAAATAACTGTAAGGCAAAAGCAAAGGCAGCATAATCAAACAAACTAATAATAGACTAAAAGTACCCCACTAAAACATTTACTTTACATTTACTTTCTAATTTTAGGCATTCCACAATTTGGTTCCCTTAACAGAGAAAAAAAAGAGGAAAGGAGGTTGTCAGGGTTCTGCCACTTTGGTCTTGTAAATTCTTGTTTTGGTGGCAGAGCTCTGACACTACTCAATGTCTGGTCCTGTTTCTGTCTCTGTGTGCGCGCGCGCCGTCGTGGGTGTACGCAGAGTGTGCGCGCTGCCACATGATGTGGCCGCGCGCGCTCTGCGTCCCTCAGACGCGCGCGCTCTTGTACTAGTGTTTGTGTTTGTTCTGTCAGCAGCGCGCTGCTTTATTCTCGGCGCCTCCGTCTAGTTGGTTTCAGTTTTGGTTGGCGCTGAGATGAAGCATGCGCGTTGCTTATATGTGAGCGCACGGTAAGGTGTTTATCTATCGTGTGCTCGTGTCTTGCGTCTTTTGTCAAAGCACGTGGCTCGGTGTTTACATTGTGGTCACGTGCTTTTGTCGTGTGCTTCAGTGTTGTGTTATGTGAGCGCATGGCTTGTATTGTCTCTCTGTGTCATGCGCTCTCCCGTCTATTGTCTAGTCCCACCCTCCTTGTCAACCCATTATTAGTTAATTGTGTTCACCTGTGTCAATTTACTTTTTGCTTTATAATCCCCCTCATGTTTTCAGTCCTTTGTGAGTTCGTCGTCGAAAGTTTCCTGTCCTGTTGTGTCTAGCCCTGTCTTGTCCAGCCAGTCAAGTTTGTTTGTTCATTTATTTGCTTTATTAGAGTTTTTCCCCCTCGGGGTTGTTTGTTTTGCCTTTTTGTTTTCATTTTATAATTAATAAAAACCCATTATTGCTGCACCTGAGTCCTCGCTCCTTTTCCCCCCACCACAACCGTGACAGTACGAACTCACCAAAAATGAGGACCCAGCAGAGTGAAGACAGCCCCTTCTCCAGCCGCATACTGCAGCTCATCAGTCTGCAGTCGCTGCGGCAACGTGGCATGAAGGTGGAAAGTTTTGCGGCTAAATTTTGTGTGGCAGCAGAGGGGCTGGGGTTTAATGATCAAGCCCTGGTGAACCTCCTTAACTATGCCCTCGACAAGCCCCTCAATATCCAGCAGATGCTGAAATTGGGAGGGCTATCTTACCATCAGTTTGTGGAGCATTTGGTTCATCAGGCTGCTTATAGCGAACATCCCAATCCCAGCTCTCTGTTGCCCTCTGCTCTGCAGCTAAAGGAGAGAGTGATTCTTCAGGAGGAGAGGATCCCTTGCACCACCACCAGCACCGCCTCCCAGCCCATGTCCAGCCCTCAAGGGCTGACCCGCACTCAGAAGCGGAGGTTAAAAAGGAAGACCTCTGCTGCAGTGTCGGCTCCAGCCCCAGAGCGCCCTCCAGTGTCGGCTCCAGCCCCAGAGCGCCCTCCAGTGTCGGCTCCAGCCCCAGAGCGCCCTCCAGTGTCGGCTCCAGCCCCAGAGCGCCCTCCAGTGTCGGCTCCAGCCCCAGAGCGCCCTCCAGTGTCGGCTCCAGCCCCAGAGCGCCCTCCAGTGTCGGCTCCAGCCCCAGAGCGCCCTCCAGTGTCGGCTCCAGCCCCAGAGCGCCCTCCAGTGTCGGCTCCAGCCCCTGAGCGCCCTCCAGTGTCGGCTCCAGCCCCTGAGCGCCCTCCAGTGTCGGCTCCAGCCCCTGAGCGCCCTCCAGTGTCGGCTCCAGCCCCTGAGCGCCCTCCAGTGTCGGCTCCAGCCCCTGAGCGCCCTCCAGTGTCGGCTCCAGCCCCTGAGCGCCCTCCAGTGTCGGCTCCAGCCCCTGAGCGCCCTCCAGTGTCGGCTCCAGCCCCTGAGCGCCCTCCAGTGTCGGCTCCAGCCCCTGAGCGCCCTCCAGTGTCGGCTCCAGCCCCTGAGCGCCCTCCAGTGTCGGCTCCAGCCCCTGAGCGCCCCTCAGTGTCGGCTCCAGCCCCTGAGCGCCCCTCAGTGCCGGTCCCAGTCCGGCTCCTTGCCCTGCCGGCGCCACCCAGACGTCAAGCCCTGCCGGCCCCAGCCCGGCTCCTTGCCCTGCCGGAACCTACCAGACGTCTAGCCCTGCCGGCCCCAGCCCGGCTCCTTGCCCTGCCGGAACCTACCAGACGTCAAGCCCTGCCGGCCCCAGCCCGGCTCCTTGCCCTGCCGGCACCACCCAGACATCTTGCCCAGCCGGCTCCAGCCCGGCACCTTGCCCTGCCGGCACCTACCAGACGTCTTTCCCTGCCGGCACCTACCAGACGTCTAGCCCTGCCGGTCCCAGCCCGGCTCCTTGCCCTGCCGGCCCCAACCAGACGTCTTGCCCTGCCGGCCCCAGCCCGGCCCTTTTCCCTGCCGGCCCCAACCAGACGTCTTGCCCTGCCGGCCCCAGCCCGGCTCCTTGCCCTGCCAGCTCCCCTCTGGTCTTCAGCCCCGCCGGCTCCCCTCTGGTCTTCAGCCCCGCCGGCTCCCCTCTGGTCTTCAGCCCCGCCGGCTCCCCTCTGGTCTTCAGCCCCGCCGGCTCCCCTCTGGTCTTCAGCCCCGCCGGCTCCCCTCTGGTCTTCAGCCCCGCCGGCTCCCCTCGGGTCTTCAGCCCCGCCGGCTCCCCTCTGGTCTTCAGCCCCGCCGGCTTTAGTTAAGTTGCCTCTAGACCAGCCGGCTCCCCACAGGCCTTCATCCCAGCCGGCCCCCCACAGACCTCTGGTCTTGTTTACCCTCATAGACCCTCCCTGGGTCATCCCTCCTGCTCCTCCCTGGTGTTCCTTTCCTCCACCCTGGACGGACCCACCGGCTCCACCCTGGTTCCCTGCTGGGGCTCCTGACCTGCTGGACCCACCCTGGACAGTTCCTCCGGTCCCACCCTGGACTGATCCTCCCTTGTCTTGCCCTCCCATCCCTCCCTTGTTTGTCGTTTTGGGTCTGGCTTGGCTTCCCTCCCTCCCCCCCTTCATGTCGTCTTGCCTGTTCACCTCCCTGTCTTGTGTCTGTTGATGTTGCCAGTTTTGTTGTCTTGTAGTGTTTCTTGTCTGTCTTGTACCTTGTTGGATGTTCCCTTTAGGGACGCCAGGTGGCGTCCCTTTTGGGGGGGGCTAGTGTCAGGGTTCTGCCACTTTGGTCTTGTAAATTCTTGTTTTGGTGGCAGAGCTCTGACACTACTCAATGTCTGGTCCTGTTTCTGTCTCTGTGTGCGCGCGCGCCGTCGTGGGTGTACGCAGAGTGTGCGCGCTGCCACATGATGTGGCCGCGCGCGCTCTGCGTCCCTCAGACGCGCGCGCTCTTGTACTAGTGTTTGTGTTTGTTCTGTCAGCAGCGCGCTGCTTTATTCTCGGCGCCTCCGTCTAGTTGGTTTCAGTTTTGGTTGGCGCTGAGATGAAGCATGCGCGTTGCTTATATGTGAGCGCACGGTAAGGTGTTTATCTATCGTGTGCTCGTGTCTTGCGTCTTTTGTCAAAGCACGTGGCTCGGTGTTTACATTGTGGTCACGTGCTTTTGTCGTGTGCTTCAGTGTTGTGTTATGTGAGCGCATGGCTTGTATTGTCTCTCTGTGTCATGCGCTCTCCCGTCTATTGTCTAGTCCCACCCTCCTTGTCAACCCATTATTAGTTAATTGTGTTCACCTGTGTCAATTTACTTTTTGCTTTATAATCCCCCTCATGTTTTCAGTCCTTTGTGAGTTCGTCGTCGAAAGTTTCCTGTCCTGTTGTGTCTAGCCCTGTCTTGTCCAGCCAGTCAAGTTTGTTTGTTCATTTATTTGCTTTATTAGAGTTTTTCCCCCTCGGGGTTGTTTGTTTTGCCTTTTTGTTTTCATTTTATAATTAATAAAAACCCATTATTGCTGCACCTGAGTCCTCGCTCCTTTTCCCCCCACCACAACCGTGACAGAGGTCTTACACTTTGGAACAAGACAGTCATCATTAGTAGTTGCTCATAGGGCTGGGTGATAAAACAGTATTGGTATTTATTGATGGTACATTGTTGTCAATATTGATGAAAAAAGTTTGGTTTGAACCGCTATAGTTTTATTAAAATGTGGTTGGCTAAGCCTGTTATTTCCAATGGAGGTGCACGACTAGTGCAAGCAAATATGTAGTAGCGCGCACTTGCCCACTAGGGGCCTCATGTATCAACGCTGCGTATGCACAAAAACTTTGCATACGTCAGGTTTCGCGCTCACGTTTGGATTTACTAACGATGAAATTAACGTGAGAATGTGCGTTGGTCTGCGCCAACTTTATGTCTGAAGTACGTGTATTTCTTGTGTGTGTTTGTTTTATTTTCATAGGCGAATCCTAGAGGCAATTATGTTAAACTACACACTAGAAAGTATCACACCAACACATGTGATACACATTGCTATTAATTTATAATTGATAAAACAGGTTAATTGACACTGTATATATATATATATATATATATATATATATATATATAAATAAATAAATTTATCAGTTATGTGATATAGAACATATAAAAGCATTTGCAAATGTGTACAGTCATTTGTCTATGGGAATGGCAGTGTTGGCCTTATTAGAGGACATTGTCAATGGTCGAATCTGAAAGGAAACTGGCTTATTAGCCGTTTCAGATTTCCAAGAGCTATCCTCTTGAAGCTCTGTGCTGAGTTGGGTCCAAATTTGGAAAGGGAGACAGCGAGGAGGCTCCAAGGTGGCAGGGTGTGTGTTGGGTGGCTTTTTGGTGAGTGATGTATTTAAAGATATTATTCCAGCTAAGTTTATTTTATTTTGTTTTATTTTATTTTATTTTATTGAGCGTAATTATATAACTACATATCAGAAGACTGTTAAAGATGTCCATTAAAGATGTGGCTGTTAACCCTCCTCAACAACCCACAATCTGACCAAGAGCGCAGATACAATGATGCCCATTTTCGCAGGTGTAGAGCGGGCAATTGGACAGCTAAAATGCCGGTGGCGCTGCCTTGATAAGAGCGGAGGGGTGCTGTTATACCGCCCTAACAAAGTGTTCCTCTTATACATCAGTCTAAAACAGACACAGATACTACTTGGTGGCTCAGTGCTTCCCGCTGTCGCCTCGCAGCAAGAAGGTCACTGGTACGAGTCCCAGTTTTGTCAGTTGGCGTTTCAGTGTGGAGTTTGCATGTTCTCCCCGTGTTTGCATGGGATTCCTCCGGGTGCTCTGGTTTGCCCCACAGTCCGAAGACATGCGCTACAGGTGAATTGAATAAATTATATTGGCCGTAGTTTATGTGTGTGCATGTGAGAGTGTATGGGTCTCGCCCAAACATGCCTAAAATAAAATGAAAATAATATTGAATTTGACTTTTTTTAATATGGATTTTTTATGTGAAGCTGTCACAAAAATACATTTGCACAATTAAACTAAATATGTTTTGGTTATTGCCAGAAAAACAAATTGTATGCTATTCAATTACTTTTCATGATGTACATTTACAGTGGTTAGCATTACAACCAATTACAAATATTTGGAGAGCTTATACATATAATGGGCAATCAGAGATGCCATCTTACTATTCGTTATTTAGTACATTACATACAACATGCATGCCCATTAGATTACAGTGTATTAACAGTAGTGTGGTTGGCCCTGTAGGGGGCGTCTAAGCATTAGTATTAGCCTTTAATACACTTACTGTATGACATTGATTTGTAACATTCTACAAAATCAAGAAAAAAAACAGCCATATTTAATGTGATGTTACACTTGTTTTACTATTAGAATACATGCTGTTATATTTTAGAAAGCTAATGGATTCTTATTTGTGGACACGTTTCAAGCTAATCTTGGCCTATAATGTCTTGTGCCTCCCTTTTGTAATTTTTCATTCTTTTTTTGGGTATCATTACAAGTTTAGAAGAGAATGTTCTGGATTATTTTAGAGCTTGCATTTGCAGCCAAACAGACGTCCCTAAATGACATTCCAGATCCGGCTCCAAGTTATCAGAATGGTTGTTTTGGGTTCATGACGGCTGACGGGTCACTTACAGTTTGAGGATAATGACTGTTGTCAGATCTTTTTAAATGTTTAATTAGTCAGAATTGTTTTTGCACTGGTTGTTCTGTTCTCTTTGGCCTCGTCTTAAACAACCCGTGGCGTGAATTATTATACTTGACAGTTGTTCTTGTGCTATTTTTATTTGAAATAAATATCAGTTGGAAACATATTTTGTTATTAATTTGTAATATAATGTAATATAATATAATATAATATAATATAATATAATATAATATAATATAATATAATATAATATAATATATAATATAATATAATATAATATATAATATAATATAGTTTTAAAATAAAATAACATGATTAATATAATGTAATTAATTATAAAATATTTAAAACAGCATAATATAATGAATACAAAATAATTAACATAACTTTATAATATAACATATATAAATATTATAATATATTAATATAATTACTTCTAAAATAAAATAATGATAAATATAATATAATTCATCAAAAATAATTAATATAATACAATATATTTAATCTAACTTTATAATATTTATTAATTCATTCATTTTCTGATCGGCTTAGTCCTTTTATTAATCAGGGTTCGCCACAGCGGAATGAACCGCCAACTTATCCTGCAGATGTCCAGCACACGGTGGCTCTGTGCTTACCGCTGTCGCCTTACAGCAAGAAGGTCACTGGTACAAGTCCCGGTTTTGTCAGTTGGCATTTCAATGTGGAGTTTGCATGTTCTCTTTGTGTTCGCGTGGGTTTCCTCCGGGTGCTCTAGTTTTCCTCACAGTCCAAAGACATGCGGTGCAGGTGAATTGAGTAAGCTAAATTGCCTGTAGTGTATGTGTGTGTGTAAGTGCAAGAGTGTGTCTCCCAGTGTCTTGTTTCCACACATCCTTTTGATAGAAATAGATCTTGTCTTGAAATATAACAGGGGAAATATATCTATTGAACACGTCACCATTTTTTTCTGAAAACATATTTCTAATGGAGCTGTCGACTTGAAACCTGAAATGCAGAAAACAAATCTAAATAGTTTACAAATGAAGTTATGTGTTATAAAATGAAAAGATGCATGGGAAAATGTATTGAACATATGAAGAAAGGGAGGTGCAGACAGGCAGTGAAATCCCAGACTGCAGCTGAAAATTTTCAGTAGTTCTTCAGCAACCCTCTGCCCTTTCTCATTGTAAATGAATATTAGCTGCTTCAGTCCAACATTTACATTAGCAGGATGATAAAGATGAAACCAGGGTGGACATTTCAGCAAGACAAGAATCCAAAAAACAGCCAAGGAAATTCAAATTCTTTCAGAGAAAGAAAATCAAGCTGTAGATTGGCCCAGCCAATCCCCTGACTTGAATCCAATAGATCATACATATAAAGATTAGAATTGAAAGACGAGACCCACAGAACCATCAACATTTTTACACTCTTTTGAAGTAAATCTCACACCTGAGCAATGCATGTGACTTCATTGTCTAAATGAGAGGCGTCTTTAAGCTGCCATCACAAAAAAAAGTCTTTTATATAAAGTAATAAATACATTTCAGTAGTTCAGCACTTTCTCCTTGCGTCATTTCATTGTTATTATAAATTACTAATTTTTCAGATTGTTTTGTTTTATTTTATTATGTTTATATTGTTTGGGCTTTTACCAAAATCTTGTTCAATTTCATGTCAACAGCTCCTTTAGAAATATTATTCCTAGGAAGAAACACGACGTGTTTAATACTTATTTTCCCTGCTGTAAATTTTGTGTTTCAGGAATGGATCCTCAAGAGACGCTCCTTCATTTTGCCGCTCGCCGTGGGCTTTCAAAAGTGGCCAGATTTCTCCTCAAGCAGCCCGGAGCCCGAGAGGCCCTTAGCCTGTGTAACAGACAGGGGGACACACCGGTGCTGATCGCCCAGAGTCGAGGACATACAGCACTGCTGGAGCTCTTCAACATGTGAGGAACACTCCTACATCTAAACTCACAATGCACACATCAGTGCTTCCCATTGCTTGTTCAGATTTCTTTTGTTGTTGTAGCTGTTCAGAAAAAGTAAAAAAAACAAAAAAAAAAAAGTTTTAAAGGTGACCCATTATGCAAGCATCACTTTTATAAGGGGTTTAAACACTTGTGTTTTTACAGTGTGTAAATATAGCCAGCCTCTTATGGTACAAATGTGTTAACTCTTAGGCCGTACTCACACTAGGTACAGTTGCCTTGAACCAAACCAAAGCACGCTTGTCCCCCCTCCCGTCTCCCCCGACGGCCCGCACTCACACCATATCGGGCCTCGGCACGCTTACGTCAACGCTGCTGCTCTGTTCAGTGAGAAGCGCTCTCTATGGCAAGCCTTTTTAGCATTTAAATCTTTGTTCTGACTCCATAAATATATTTAGAGATATCTCTAATTATATTTTGATTAGTCATAATTATAATTCCACTACTCAGAATGACAATTAGAGATATCTGCAATTACAATTGTACTAGTACAAAATCAGATTGGAGATATCTGCAAATATATTATGACTAGTCATATTCCTCCATTGACTTCCATTGAAAAATATTTGCAGATATCTCTAAATGAGTTTTGACTAGTCACAATTTTAATTAGAGATATCTCCAAATTAATTTTGACTAGTAGCAATTGTAATTAGAGATATCTCTAACTGAGTTTTTACTAGTCATAATACATTTGGAGATATCTTTAATTCGTCATATTTAGAGATATTTACAAATACATTTGAAGATATCTCTAATTAATTTACTAATAGTCGAATTACAGTTGTAGATATCTTGAATTGGATTTTTGACTAGTCAAAATTCATTTGGTAAAGCCCCACCCTTTAGTGACAATCTCTGCCTTATTAGCATAGACCGCCCTAAGTGAGAAGTAGCCATCCACTTTTAGAGTTTTCATGCTGTACCTGTTGAAGATAATGTATTTAAGATAATGACATTATAAATGTAATCTTTTAACATTTTCAGTTTTTCACAGATAATGTTAGGGCTGTTTTGCATTGAAATATTTTCTCTCTTTTTTTCTTGTGATCTCGACATAACAAAACATGTCTAGGGTATCTACTTGAAATAAGCAGAAAACAAAAGGTCATCTGGTCCTACATTGGACAGGTATAAATAATAATAATAATAAATCTTTCTTTCTTTTCTTTTTCATTATTTTAAAACCTTTTTTACCAATTATAATCTGTTATTTTTTAATCTGTTTTAATCATAATAAATCCTATTTATTTTTATGTAAAGCACTTTAAATTACCATTGTGTATGAAATGTGATATATAAATAAACTTGCCTTGCCTTATTATTATTAATACATAAAGAAAAAAGAAAAAAAAAGTTGTGATTACTAGAAAACAACTTTTTATTATGTTGACATTACAAGAAAATTAAGTCGAGAGAAAAAAATGCATGGGCTCTTAGGACTTCCATAGTTTTGAATCTACCACTATGCTGACACACAGGTGATTTTAGCTCCGCCCTCTTTAGAAAAGAGCACATCTCATTTAAATTTAATGCCACAGTCACCAAAACAGGACAATTTGGATCGAAGTCTAAAAGGCGCAGTTTAAAGAGTTCTAAGAAATTATTTGTGAGGTATTTTGAGTTGAAACTTCATACACACTCTAGGGACATCAGAGACCTATTTGACATTTTTTTAAAAAGGGGCATAATAGATCACCTTTATGTAAAATCCACTTAGCCTTGAGCTTTTGACACAGAGGAGCTTCTACCGTTGAAACATCCTGCTTAAAATATCCTTTCCATTACCCACCTTTTCCCTACATGCCATGATGCTTTTTGCATGAATTAAAGGAAATGAACTGTGTACAATGAGGGGCCATTGTCAGGGCCACACAGAATCTGTGGATATTTTTTTGCTATTTCTACGCAGATATTTGTAATGCAAATCTGTGGATTCATGTACAATGATTTTGAGAGTTTAATAACTTAAAAGCATGCATGAAAAATAATAACTTTTCAACTCTTATTTATGGTTTACAATGCAAATCCAGATAGATATACTTGTTTGGTAAACGGTGACACTTTGGCTCATTGGCATTTCTATGTGGGTTATGCATGTTCTCCCCGTGTTGTTGTGGGTTTTCTCCAGGTGCTCCAGTTTGCCCCACAATCCAATGGCCTGAAGTGTATGTGAGTGAATGAGTGTGTATGGGTGTTTCCCAGTGTTGGGTTGCAGCTGGAAGGGCATCCGCTGTGTAAAACATGTGCTGGATGAGTTGGTGTTTCATTCCGCTGTGGCAACCCCTGATGAATAAAGGGACTAAGCCGAAGGAAAGTGAATGAATGGTGAACAAACTAAGTCTCTTAAATAATCAAGTAAACATGGAGATGTCCATCTCACCTTACAGATTACAATCATTTGCATGTTTATGTGAATTAGAATATCAGGTAGTTGATGACATGACGAGCAAGCGTGTAAATATGTAGAATTAACAGAGAAAAAAACTAAATAAAATGGACACATCTGTCATACATCATTGTGTGTGTCACATGACAAACATGATGCGTCACCACAAAAACATTAAGGGCTCTATTTTGACGGTCAATGCGTAGAGCGCAAAACGCAGGGCGCAAACGCTTTCAGGGCGTGTCAGAACGCATTTTTGCTAATTTACGGACGGGAAAGCCTGCTTTGCGCCAAGGCACATGGGCTAAAAGGGTTGAGTTTATTTTCTTAATGAGTTATAGGTGTGTTTTGAGAATAAACCAATTAGAGTCTCATCTCCCATCCCCTTTAAGAGTCAGCTGCGTCGCGCCAAGAGCACATTCGCTATTTAAAGGACGCAAAGTAAGTCTTAGTGGAAAAAATGAGCATTTTACAAGCAAACAGTTAACAGTTAACAGTTTTTTAACAGAAAACTTTTAAACAGAGCATCTACTGCGTGAGAATGAGAGGTAATGGATCACTTTCACTTTCGCTCTTGGACAGGGAAACCTTTACGCACAGACATCAATTAGTCTATAAATAAATACTTTTGTTTGTTAAGCGCAAATATTAGTTACAAAACTATTTCTTAATTCAGTTCTAATTTCCAGCAAACGAATAAATGAACAATAATTACCAAGTGTGGTCAAAAACCTGAGTTATATCCTAAAACACATGCTGTGCACCATATGGTCTAAAACCTGACAGGTGGACAAATCTAAGCTTGTTTTTAATAAAACAAATATACATATGGATATAATAAATAATACTGCTGATAATAATAACATTATACAAAAGCAAATTGTTATGAATGAACTGAAAAAGCCTCCCGAGATGAAGAAGACATAAAAGCAGTGATTTTTCATATTTATGTAGGCTAGAAAATAATATGTTTTGTAATATTTTAATCCTTTATATTTATATTCTATATATATTCTTATTATATCCTATATATATCCCTAATATTTAAATTTTTTCATATGTAAAGATATTTGCCTATTGCTCTCTTGTGCGTATTAAGCAGTGCGTAAGAGAGGCGCAACTCTGCACTGGAGTTTAGACCGGGTTAGTTTTGGTCTAATGAAAAATCTATTATAGTTTCTCAAAATAGCAACGCACCAGCGGTCCGCCTCAGAACGCCTTCCTTTTTAGACCAGAACGCCTATGGGGGCACAAATGAGCGCTAATGCATTTGCTATTTAGACAGCGTAGCGCAACGCCTCAAAACGACTCTTGCGCCAAGCTGAAACTACCAAAAGACTATTGCGCTGCGTCTTGCGCCCCACTGCGCCGGGTGTATGATAGGGCCCTAAGGGTCAATGTTCTAAAAAAACGGACTCCCGGGCCAGAAAGAATCTTATAAACTCAGCAGTGAAAGAGTTAATAACAGCAGTAAAGCAGCGGTGGTTTAGTTATTTTGCATTGCAAGACTAAAGACTTTTTTTATTCACTCGCCTTTCACTAATCCTTTATTGTGCCATCTGTTGTCATGTATAGCTGCACTGCAGAAAACTTTTCTTGCTTCGTCATTTTGTCTCGTTTCCAGTTCAAATATCTAAAAAATTTTCCATCAAGACCAGACAAGAAAATGGCATGAGAAAATGAAGTGATGCTGAAAACTTCTGTTTGAGATTTTATCTTATTAAGATCATTTTTCTTTCCCCGTTGGCAAATAATTTTGCTTGTTTTAAGCAAACAATCACTTAATTTTGAGGTTAAGTGACTTCTTATGCTATTTCATGTGTCTAGTATGTATCTTCATTTAAAAACATTTAGATATTTGGATTGAAAACAGGACAAAACTAGTTAGTTTATTATTGTTATTATTATTATTATTATTATTTTATTCTAACAGCTAAAGGGTGAGCTTTTTTGAATAAAGGGTGGGAAGTTAATGCTTCTTGTTTAATTTTTTATCCGATTAATCGATAAAATAATCGACCGATTAATCGATTATTAAAATAATTGTTAGTTGCAGCCCTAGTTTGCTTGATAGCTCACCTTGTACAGTGTTGAGCGTTCAGATTTGGGTCCTGTTTTACAATATACATCGAATCAATGTAAAATCAAGGTAAACTATTATTATTATTGTAATATAACGTATTTCAAATTCGTAAACATGTAGACAATGCCCTCTAATGGATTTGTTATCTAAAGCATGCAACAAAATGTAGCAGGAGCAGCATATTTCACCAAAATTTAGGCCGAAACACACACTTCCAAAGAGCCTGGGCTGAGACTAGACACCTAATTTACATACATGTTTTCTCTCCATGTAAAACCACTTTTTTTGTCCATTTAAGTTGTTCCAGACATTTAAAATCATCCTGACATCAAGTTGAGATGCTTGTTCCCCTCAGAAGAAACATCTGAGAAACAGGAGGTCTCCATTAGCTCTTTGTTTAATTTCATTGCTGAGACATTAAAGCAGGATAATCACATATTACTCTTTCATCTGCGCTGTGCTGCTTCAGACAGCAGTGACAATTGCTTTCCTCTGACCTCGTTGACTAAACTCACTCCACCTAGCATTAGTCAACACTCCAGGCCCATATTTTAACCATTACCTCTTATTATTAACACACTCCGGTTGGCAA